TGGGAGAGCCTTGCCATTATTCTCTTTCTCTCGCTAATCTTGATGGTGGGTTTGACAATTACTATTTTTTATTTTTTTTACTTTTAAGATAAAATTAATGAGATGCATTTTGAAATTTTAAATTATTTCTTAAATTACTCTTTATTGAGCAAATAATATTGGGAATGTTTGACAAATTTTTTTCTTGAAAAAAAAATGCAATTTATTTATTTATATTGATTTCACAATGATAAATTCTAAATTCAAAATTAATTACTTTTTTTTTTATCAGCAAAAAATAATTACTTTAGAGAAGCAACAAAAGTTGTGGAGTTGCTATTTTATTTACTTATTTCAAATCTTTTGATATGCAACAATTCATATAAAAAAAAAACTCAAAACTCAAAACAGAAACACATTTTTTGAGTTTATATTTTTTGGCCAAATTTATAAACTGAGATCACTGATTTATAAATAAAAAATTTTACCAAACAAGTTTTTATTTGAGTTTTTTAAATTTTTGTAAATATAAACAGAAAAATGAAAACGTAAGTGTTACCAAACGGCACCTAAGTAATAGGAACTTGCATTGCATTCTACAACATTATCTGGGTAGTCATCAAACATTAGTGAGAAAACTAGCCGTCTGAGCAATCCCCCCATAATTCATAAATAAATGTCTTTCATCTAACACCTGTAGGAGAAATAATGAGAACAATCAAAAGAACAAGAAATAACAAAGATAGAATTATACAAAGAGGGAGAGAAACAGAGGAAATTCGAATAATTCTCAATCTTACACCAAAATAATGTAGCTGTTCAATACAACTCATCCTCATATATATGGCCCATAAGCATTATCCAATCAGGAAACAAAAATAAAACTATGATCCTAATGAAATTAAGGTTCCTAAATAAACTAGTATTTCTAATCTTCAATTGTTCGTCACCCAATTCCTTTTTGTTCCATAGCCCGCTTTGTCTAATATTTTGATAGCATTCATATTCTCTTTTGAATGTATGGGTGATGGATGCTACACAAGATTTGTGGATGGAGCCTTTTGGGAATTATGGCAGGTGTTGAGATGGTGCTGAGTCATCGGAGGGTGGATGGGGTGAGAGCAGAGTCGATCTTCAGAGCTGGAAAGAGAGAGAGAGAGAACAATGGAGGTTAGGAGATAAAGAATTGGAGCCTCCATGGTTGGGGATGGAGATGAGTGGATGTCTTTGTGGATGGGGATGGAGGCTCTAGATATAGGAGAATCAGGCCATGAAATCTAGTACACTTGGTCAAGTGCCCGAGCGAGGGCAAGAGGACAAATGGTCTCCCTTTCTTGGCTCGATAAATTGTAGTCAATAGCCACTATTGGGTATTAGCACCGAAATCTTCATACGCTTTGGCAGTTGTAACTATGTTTCTTGTTAATGGTTTGGGATTATCTTCTAATAGAGATTCCCCTATTCTCTTTCTCTCGCTATAAGACCGGTCAAGTGTAAGTCCCTTGAGGGAGATTGGTACCTTGATTAGTGCTCAACTTTGGTGACTAAGTCACAAGATCTTGGTGGTTTCGTGGGAGGTCATGTGGTTACTTGAGCACCCCATAATCTCACAACAATGCTAAGGGGGTTTCTAGGATCTACTCTAAACCTAGGCTAGAATAGGTATATTGTGGTGCCTTTGAAGAATGAAGTATGAAGTATAGATTATAGGGAAATTAGGTTTGAGTGGAGAATCTTCTTGGCTAGGTTGATTGAGAGAAGTTCAAATGTATTGCCATGAGTGGAGATGGATGAGCTAGGATGAAGGGGTTGTCAAGCAAGGGAGCTAGGACAGAGTGCTTAAGATGTTCCTTGGAGATTGCTTGTACATGCATTGGGTTGAGAGTAAGGCACCATGTATGTTAGACTCAACCAACAAAGCTCTATTAATCTCTTTCTTCTTTTTCTTCCTTTTTGTGGATTTCACGTATAAAATGTATCTCTTTCTATTATTATTATTATTATTATTATTATTATTATTTTTATTTTATAGTTAGAAATATGTTTGAAAAGGTGTATGGTATTGGGCTATATGGAAAAATGCATTCAATTGGCATTAGGTCTGTACATGTGGGTGGTTGATATCTTTTCTTCTTTTTTTTTAATTAGTCATATATTGCAGTTTGTGTCCCCGAAACATGTATTTTACGAATTGTTTGGCATCAGCTTCATAGCAATGAATTTCTTGGATTATCAACTAATTACTATGTTCATTGCATTGTACATGATTTTTCTGTACTAATGCAAGGTACTACAGTTAAAACTCTTTACTTGGTTGCCATTCATTCTTACAAGTTTTGATTGGCAATGTAGGTATTGGTAGTTTCTGGAGAGACAGGCTGTGGCAAAACTACACAACTCCCTCAATTCATTCTTGAGGATGAGATTTCATCTCTTCGTGGTGCCAATTGCAACATAATGTGCACTCAACCTCGTCGTATATCAGCAATTTCTGTTGCAGCTCGAATATCCTCTGAAAGGGGAGAGAGTCTTGGTGAAAGTGTTGGTTACCAGATCCGTCTGGAATCAAAATGCTCAGCTCAAACACGGTTGCTATTTTGCACCACTGGAGTGTTGCTTCGAAAGCTGGTAATGTGATTCCTCTCACACATGTTATTTTTTCTGTTAGAGGCTCCTAAAGTTATTTGGATTATATTATGCATTTTCAAATATATATTGTGCATCCTTTTTCTTTTCTTTTTTTTTAAATTTCTTATTGTGTTGGAATTTGTTTACTGAGGTGCTTGATTTTCATGTTGCCCTCATATCAAGTTTTGGAACTTATGCATAAGGATCCTGCAAAGTTTCTAAGTCTCCATTGGTTAAATTGCCTAAACTAAGATAGGGTAAATTTTGTATAGGTCCCATAATAATCTACAGTTTTAATAGATTAATTAAGTCACACGATTTTTTTGTTAACCCACTAAGTTCCACGCATCATCGCTTGACCGAAATACTCTTATGTTATTAAAATGTGAGGTGCACATAAACAACTTGGAGGCAGGTATACTTTTTTTTTTTTATCTAAAACGTTAAAATTTCGTAACTTTAGTTCTACAGATCTGTTTTTTCACAGAGTTATATTTTTGGAACCTATTTGAGGAGATCTATTAAACAAGATTTATATTGTATATTAAAAAACTTTGAAGAAAAAAAAAAACTGAGAAATTTCATTGATAACTGAGAAATTTCACTGTTACATAAAATTTTACTGTTTACTGAGAATTTTCCCTACTATTTTACTGCAAAATTTCTCAGCTACTCAAACATGAAAAGGGCAAAAAATTTCAGTTCTTTTTTTTCCTACATAATTTTAAATCCAATATCAATCTTGTTTTGATAGATCTCGACGAGCGGATTTCAAGAATACAAATTTTATTAAAAATGGATGTGTACAATGAAAGTTATGACATTTTAAGTTTGAAAAGAAGAGGAAAAAAATAGAAAACACTAACTTGACAGGTTAGCAACACGAGTGGCGTTGTAAGATGTGCTCCAGTAAGGGAAATAATATCCAAATCTTTGCTTAAAATTAAAAAACGAGGCTTAACTTGTTGAAGACTAAAATCAATGGGAACTTTTGTGTTAACTAAAAAGTCATGGGATGTAATCTATTACAAATCCTATCCATGGGACTTGTTGCCAAAAACCCCAGTCAGAAATGCTACTATAATGATGGGTGGGTTTGAATTATGCAATGCCTCAGAAGCACCCAATTTTTTGTGCTTGGCACGGAGCAGGTCCATTGCAAAACTAGTGCTTCAACATGTTAAAAATAACACGAGGTTATTTACATTTTGGCAACCTATACCTATTTGAAGCTATAAATGATTTTTACATGAGCTATCTTTCAGTCCAAAATAACCTTGGGGCTAGCTGATGGCTCAAATGGATTTCTGCCCCCTGATCTGATTGAACCAAATGACATCCAAAACTTCTTAAAAGTCTCTAGCCACATCAAACCATCCTTCATGCGCCTCCTTGGCTTCTGCCCCCTGATTGAACAAAATGGCATTCAAAACTCCTCCAACCACGTCAAGCCTTCCTTCACTCCCCTCCGTGGCTGGTATGAACACCGCCCCTATTACCTCCATCCTACACTTCCACTTTTACATACCTCCCCCCTATTAGATAGACTTAGAAACTTCACCCTATAACATTCCCACTCAATTTTATGAGAAATTTCTCACTAAGTCTACTCTTCGAAGCTGCAGCCACACAAACCCATTTGAGGTCTAAATTCACTGGTCTGCACAACCTTGATCCCTTTTAGTAAGAGAAAACCCTAACTCTTGCGTTCCTTTCACAGTAAGATCAGAATTCTTCCATCCTTACATAGAGTAAATGTCTTCAAAAGCCAACGGTAGGCATTTGGGAAATTTGCTGTTAAATCCTTTAATCTTTTGATGAGTGGGAATGTAAGGGGTTATTTTCTTGGACATGTATTTGAAAGGTTGGGGTTCCCAATATGTTCTGTTTTTTCGCTGTGGACTGCAGATTAGATTCTATTCTGACTTTAGATACTTGAAGAAGGTTGGTAAAACGCTCCCCAAGTGGTGTTGCATGTGTAGGAAGGCTGAGGGTCAGTTAATTACCGTCTATTATGTTGTGATGTGGTGAGAGAGTGGTGGAGCATGCTATTTTCTATGTATGGACTGTTTGGGTTATGCTGGCTTTGATAATCTCTTCTGTGAGAGCCGGTAAAGAGGTGAAGAAAGCATGGAAAGTGGCAACATTGTTTTTGATGCAGTGTATTTGGAGAGAGCTAAAATAGTGTACCTTTAAGGAAGTAAAAATGGTTATACATGCACTTAAGATACATCTTTTACACTTTCAAATTTTGGCTAGAGAGGGAATTTCATGAATCTTCTTTATCTTTTGTTGATTTTATAGGGAGTTATCTTTTGTAGATGCTGTATAGTTGGCTTCTGTATACCCCTTTGCGCAAAAGTTGCACTCCTCTTTTGGCACTTTTAGTGAGTTTATTTACCAATCTCCAAAAAAAAAAAAGGCCATTGTGCCAAAGCACACAGTTTTTTAGTTTGAAGGACCATGACTGGATTTCTAAAGTACCCTTCCCTTCTGCCAAGCCATGGTCTGGATCATGAAATCTTTAGGAATATTAGAAAAGTCAATGTCTTGAATTTTCTGAGCGACATTATTGTATCACTAAGAGGGGCAGTTAGAAGCCAAGGAAGATAGGAGTACTTCTAAAAACTGTGCTAAGCATGAGATAAGCATCACATTCAAAACAGACTGAATTCTGTTGAAGATAAGAAGCCTTGAGTAAGCTAAGCTCACCACTTCCACCTCAGCAACTTCGATTCCTTTGGCAAAAATCAATCCTTTAAAATCTTTTTTTTTTTATCATCTCAATTCTTTAAACTATGCTATTTATGTGTGTGTTTGTGTGTGTGTTAAGTCCTGCAAATACTAAGAGCATGAATACAAATGTTCACACATATAAAATCCACTCTGGAAATCTTAAAAATAAAGTTTCAGGAGTAATGAGTTGTTAAAGACTAAGAGGAGTGGAGTTTAGCAAAGGCAGTGAGAAATGTAGGGCTCATAAAGATCGAGTCTGCCAAAATAGCAGTTTTCAACAGGTAAAAGTTTTCTTAATAGGGTAGGTTGCAGCTTCTTCATCAAATGGGTGAGTGGAGGGGGGAAGCTGAGGCTGTTAGGGAATTGAAATTTGATTAAATTATAAATTGATTAGACTTATAGGGATAATTTTGGAAATGTACAATTTAAAGCATGAAGTGCATTTATGCTTCTATGTAGTGTACATGGTTTCAATAATGAATTATTGCAATTAGCTTATGGGGGAGTTCATAAGTTCTTATTGTGGTTGTGCTTCTTATGAAATGCATATTGACATTTTATTCTGTTTTGTCATGTTAAACTACAGGTTCAGGACCCTGTTTTAACTGGAGTTAGCCATTTGCTAGTGGATGAAATCCATGAAAGAGGCATGAATGAGGACTTTCTCTTAATAATTTTGCGTGACCTTCTTCCTCGTCGTCCAGATCTCCGTCTTATTCTAATGAGTGCGACCATTAATGCTGAATTATTCTCCAAATACTTTGGAAATGCCCCGACTATTCATATCCCGGTATTGTTTTTGGTTGCATCATGGTTGTAGAACATGTATTCTGGAATTTGTAAAATGCATTTTTATTTTACGCATGGTATGATATTCCTATGATTTTTTGGCAGGGCCTCACGTTCCCTGTGGCAGAGTTGTTTCTTGAAGACGTGTTGGAGAAAACTCATTACAGTATCAAATCAGAATTTGACAACTTTCGAGGGAGTTCAAGGAGGAGGAGACAACAAGAGTCTAAGAAAGATCCTATGACTGAATTGTTTGAGGCATGATTATTGTTTTTAACATATCTATCTAAAATACCCCTATAGTAGTTATTTACAACACAAAATTATATAATGAGATGAATAGGGCGCTTTTATGGGTCCTTGTACGTGGCCCAATGTTACCTGGAATGCGGATAGTTCCTGTACATAGAATGGGAATGTGAAATGACACATGATCTAAAATATGATGTGATAGGGGTAAGCTTGTGTAGATTACACTTTTAGAATTTAAGGTGCTTTAAATTAATTATGTAATCATACATTTCTAGAGGATTATGGCCTATTTTTATATCTTATCCCCCCAAAGCTCTACTCTCCTAGCTTTTAGTTCATTGTATATGATTCTTTTTTCTCCTACTTACAAAAAAAAAAAGAAATTTATTCCTACAGAAACCTTTAAGATAAAAAATAGGCAAAAATTTTGGGATCACTTTGGACCACTGAATTCTACATTTTGGGTTAGAAGTATACCATGTTTCAGAATGGCGTGTTGCAAAACGTAAATCGCTTGGGTAATAACATTTTTTGGTAACATTGCCATCGCCTTGAGTAGATTAATTCAGTCTATTAGTACGAGTTTTAAAAAGATTTGGGAGTCTTGGTCAAAGTGGTAGGAGCATTGGTAACCTATAGAAATTTGTGTGCCCCAACATCAATGAATGTTCAATTCAGAGAACTTGGCAACATCTAAGATTTGTGAGTGGTTGTTTGGTGCAACCCTTTAACCTATATGGATGTTTTAAAGGGATCTTCGGCAGATATTCTTAGAATTTTCTTCTCCTCCTCCTCCTCCTTAATGAGAATACAATCATTAAGAAAAATCTTGAGAGCCAAAAATCATTAGTGAATCATGGCCTTCATTCAGCGTATAATAACATTGAACTCTTCTAAGATCCAATTAGCCCAAGTGTCACGTAACTTATGTTCACCTGTACTTGAATGAATTAATTATTATGATAATTATGAAGATTTTGATTTCATGTTTTTAAGAAGTAATTTTGTATTAGCATAGTAGAATGTATTTGAAACAAACCTCGAAGGGGTGAATGAGTGCTGCAGTAACGAACATTATAATTTTTGCGTTGCATTATAAAAGCAAGACAATACTAACCAAGCCTTGATTGTTGGTTTAACTTGGACTCCTGTCATAATTCATGTGTCCAGTAAAATTTTGTGAGTAATTTTCCAATTTTGTCTTTCACCATTATAAGTTGCTTAACCTTTCCCTGCTGTTTCTTTCTTTCTTTTTTTGTTGTGTGTGTGTGTGTGTTATAATTGGACTGTTTTAACTTTTTAATTTCATCTTCATATATTTTTATATGATATGCCGCGTGCATTTTCAGCCAAGTAGTTAATCTTCCGGCAGTCAAACAGCCCAATTGTATGCATAGATGCAACCATTGGAGTTAAGAAGCATGTCCTGCTCTACATAAATTGTGTAGTTGATACTATAGAAGGATTCGTTCTAATACTTAGTTTGGTCAACATTCAATATTGACTGATTTTAACTTTTCAAGTAATTAACAGTCAGTTTTGCAGCTTTACTTGCATTTAATTGAACATTTTATTTTCCAAGAGAATATATCATGCTATGATTGTTTTGTCTTTCAGAATATTCTTCTATTCTTATATGAAATACTTATTTGAATCTCTCTCTCTCTCTCTCTCTAGGATGTTGACATTGATTCTCACTACAAAAGCTACAACACGACTACTAGACAATCTCTTGAAGCTTGGTCGGGCTCGCAACTTGATTTGGGTCTTGTATGTATCTTCATGATTCTTTCAAGTTTCAACCCTTTTGAAGCACCTGTTTTACCGTTGACATGAAGTTCTCTTGTATAGTCTTAGGAAGCAACCATACTGTTATGGCAGTACCAATGTCAATCGTTGCCAGTTACACACACAAGCACACGAATATTGTTTTCTCTTGTAGTTAAACCCTTAGTTAGAATCCTTCCGGACCTGGAAAAAATGAGATTAATGTTATTTTGTCTGCGATATTTTTCTAGATTGTGCTTGCTCGAGGTTAGAAGGATTATTCAATTTCCAAATGCATACTAACGTGAAAATGAATTTAGCTTTTGGTTTTCACTTTTGAGGATTTCTTGTCCTCCATTGTATCTCTTTTCTCTCCATTTTAATAAAATTATTCTTTTGTTGCTGATCAAACAAAAAAAAAAGAGAATTTAGCTTTTGGTTATGCAGTGTCATAGAAAAAGCTTTACTATAAAATGGTACAAAGGTCGTCCATGAAACTTGGTGGTATAGGGTTACTCCGCTAGATGTAAGAGGGGAGCTTTTATTTCCACACACCACATTGTCTCAATTCACACACTTTTTTGGTTTGGATATCAACTTCCGAACAAAATTGCATGGTTTGAAAATCAACTTTCAAACGAAACCTTATGATTAGGCTATACCTTTGGTTCCGAAGTTGATTTCCAAACCATGTAATTTTGTTTGGAAAACAACTTTCGAACCTAAAATGGTGTGTGAACTGAGAGAGTTGTGTGTGGAATTTGAAGCTCCCATGTAGGAGGGATGTTTGTGGTGTGGCACACCAGCCAACTACCTAGATACTGGACATTTGAGCATTTACATTTGAATTGTCAAATAGATTGTTACTTGAGGAAGATATTGGAGTGACACTTTGGAGCTGGACAAATATTTATAATAAGGCTACTCCTTTAATTTAAACAAGTTTGAGGGGTGTCTAGGATTTCCTTCTCGAACCTGATCTTGTTTGCTGAAGGTGACACAGGGTAAGCTCTTTCTTCTTGATGGGTGGTGAGGAAAGAAGTCTAGAGGTCATGATCTGGAGCAATGACAAATGCTATCTGCTCCCAGCGTTGTGGAGTGGGTTTGAATCCTGGAATCGACCTCTCTACAAACAGTTTGGGGAAGGTTGCCCGCTTATTCCTATCCTAGACCTTGTTGTGAGCGGGGGAGCCTTATGTATTGAGTACAGCCCTTTTTTATTTGTGGGAAACTAAGAGAAATATGATGTTGGAACTTTGGGCATCATGGTGCTGTTATTATTATTAATTCTGTATGTTGCGTTTAAAATTCTTCAGATGAGTTTGAAGTACAAATTTATTTGTTTGAAAAAAAGAAGGTATAAGGTTTGAACTGCATCATTGAACAATTTTATGCTATTAGCATTTTCATTTATTTGTTGAACATACTTGTAAAGCTCTTGGAACATATTAGAAGGTTCTCACAAGTCAAACCTGATCATTCTGCTTCACCGGCGGGCGGCAGCCTCGCCTTGGCCGCCCCCCGGACCTCTACACATATCCTGACTCCGCTGTAACTTCATCTTCCTCTCCTCACTATTGAAGAACTCTGCTATTAGCCCTCTTCTTTCTTTCTTCGTCACAGTACCGGATACGAAGAAACCGACCAAGAACGGCCAGTTCTGACTCCATTCTCGCCGGAAGAAAACAGGCCACGGATCGAACTTCCTCATCTCTCTCTAAAACTCTCTCTCTCTCTCTCTCTAGATGAGACGCTACAGATAACATGTCACTCAGAAGATCATTTCTCTCGCGAAGGATCAACAGTCGCTCCTTTGCGCTATCCAAATCGTTCCAAGAATTCAAAACCCTAGACACTGCACAGGCCGAAGCGAATTTGAGGAGTAATGGTAGCGACGACGATGTTGAGGCCGAATTGGAGGGCTCTTGGTCGAATATGCTGCCGGAGCTACTCGGAGAGATCATACGGAGAGTCGAAGCGAGCGAAGATCGGTGGCCGATCCGACAAAACGTCGTCGCTTGCGCTTGTGTGTGCAAGAGGTGGAGAGGAGTCACCAGAGAGATCGTTAGGTCTCCGTTTCGCAGTGGCCAGATCACCTTCCCTTCTTGCCTCAAACAGCGGGGTCCTCGTGACTCTCCTCTTCAGTGTCTTATAAAACGGAACAAGAAGAACTCAACAAAGGGACGAGCGAGAAAGCTGCGCGGACGAAAAGTTAACCTCCGAGCTTCAGAGGAAATCCATGGCGGAAATTCCAACTCTGCTTTGAAAACCTTTCTATACATGTTCATGAGGTTCTCATCTTGAAATCACCAAATAAAAAAAAAATAAAATAAAATAAAATAAAAAATAAAATAAAATAAAAAAACCAATCAGAAAGAAGAATATAATAAACTCAACACAAGGGAAATATATAGAATCACACAAAGGCATACACATGCACGACATTTCTCTCTCACACTTTACTTTATCAAACCCACTAGATTTCCTTTATTTTCTTTTAATATATTACCAACGCCACACACCACACCCACGTTCTTTCCACTTTACGATTATTTTAATATCTATATATATATATATATATATTTTTATTATCCTATCTTTCCACCATCCTCTCAATAATACTTCTTTCTCTCTCACCCAATACCACCCACGGCACTCACAGCAGGCCCACACTCACACACACCCACGGGATTTTCTACTGCCCACATTTTTTTTTAATCATCACACACATACACCAGCACATACACACCCCACAACAGAACCACTTTCTTTTCTTTTCTTTTCTTATTCTCCACTCACCAAACATTATCATCCCCGGTTGCTCCACTTTTTCTCTTTTCTTTTATTTTTTTTATTTTTTTATTTATTTATTTTATTTTTAAAAAAAAAAAAAAAAAAAAAAAAAACAAACAAACACGGAGGAAGAAGACGAACTGCAAAATTTTATTCATATCGGGCCTCACCCCATCATCATTCATTACAAAAAAAAAAAAAAAAAAAAAAAAAAAAAAAAAAAATACACACAAAACAACCACAGTGGGATTTTTTCTTTTCCCTTCTCTATTCTACGCAGGTCCTTCTTCTACTTTTATCTGGGTGTCCCGTGCCAGTCCGGTCTCCCTGTTTCCCTTGTCCACTGGAGCACGTTCACTCTCCCCATAACTCCTCCACTGCAGCATATGGAGGACCTCCAAATCGGAACATCACGGTGCCTTCCGCTTCAGCTCCCTTGTTTTTCTGCCCTTATATCGCTTATCTCTGCTCGCGCCATCCTTATACATGCGTTGGAGCAGAGCCAGCTGGGAGTTAAATGCGTGCACACCTCATTTGTCCTACTCTGCAGCCGGTTCGACATGTTTGTGACCGCCGTCATGCTTTCCACACATGCCTTCAAAGTATACTGATTGGCTCCACATCCGACAGCCCTGCCATTCTTTGCTCCACAGACCGCATCGGAAAGTTCAACGGAGTATACCCAGCGGTGTTTGGTTGAGGTTCACTGGCT